TCTAGGATCGTAATGAGCATGTGATTTCTACAAATGTGACACGAGAATAGAAAAAGGGGGTGAAGTGATGATGATCACTGGAGGACACTACAACTGCCATTGGTCGATGCCTGCTGTCCACTGCTGCTGCTGCTGTCCGCTGCCTCCATCAGCTGCTGCCTACTGCCGCACAGTTCCTGGTACAGGTTGGGCATGGCCACCTTCTGACTGCTGATCTGCGTCTCAGTGCCTGGACTGCTCGCAGAGGAGCTGCCGCCGCCGCCCTCCTCCTCTTCGGCACTCTTGAAGGGCTCCGTCGAGGAGGCCATCATCGCGGCGTGGTGCTCCCTGGCCCACTCGCACATGAGTTGGCCGGCGTACAGTGGGTTAATGGAATAGAGCCAGTCGTACATCTCCCGGGCAGTGCCACACCGAAAGAGGTACCCGGCGTGCTTCGTCACCACACTGAAGGCGTTCTCCACGCAGAGCATCGCCCGCTGCTGTTCGCTGCACTCGACGCGAGCATTCGCCAGGTTGATCACCGACCGCTCCACCGGGTCCTTCTCGTCCTTGTAGATGAAGAGGTAGGGCCGCCGGACGACGATCCACGTCTTCGACCACTTGGTCGTCTCGGTGCTGCAGTGCTCACTCGCCATCAGACAGCTCAGGTAGCCCTTCTTGCTGATCACCGAGCTGAGGCGCACCTCCTCGATCTCCGGAATGAACAGAGCGTAGTCGGCGGAGGAGGAAGCGGAGGCGCCTCCGGACGCCGCAGAGGAGCACCTCACTGCTGAGCTGCTGTTCGGAGACAGGTCAAAGATGGCCTTCTCCTTCTCGAACCACCGGTCGACGCCGTTGATGAAGGTCGTTGAGGCAGCCAACTGGGCGGAACAGAAAAGACTGCGTTAGGAAAAAAGGTGACTAAATAAAAACAATCTCTCTCTCACCTTTTCCGGACTAGACAGATCAGGCGTGGAGGCCCCTGAGGTGGGCGTCAGGAGGTTGCTCGAAGAGCCGCCCATTCCTGAGGCCGTCGGCTTTAGCAGATTTGAGCCCGGGAAGGTGGGCGGTGGTCCGCTGGGCACGTGGAATTGTATCAGGCGGACACACCTGGCGACCAGCTCCCGGTCCCGGTCACTGGCAAACTCCTCGACCACTGCTCGCTCCAGTGACTCGATGCCCGAGCTGAAGGTCAGCGAACGAGGCATCGACATGGTCGGCACTTCAGCGGCGTCCACTTCAGTTTGATTAGATCCCGAAGAGGAGTTTGAAGTGGAGGAGTTTGCATTGGCTATCGCTACCAGACTTAATCGGCTAGACGACGTTTTCATGCCACTCGAACCAGCCTAAAAAAGGTAAAATTTTGTTTAAACAGGCAATGTTCCATTCCCCTTTGTTTGAGAACCATTACCTGAAAGTGATTTGCCGCTGGCAGATCGTAGAAAGCGTCCACTTCATCGTCATCCTCCGCCACACTGGTGAGCAGTCGATGTCGTGTCCGTTCGACCATCTCCAGTCTGGTCAGCTTCTCCAGCTCCCACTGGTGGTCGAAGATGAGCGAGTCACCCCGAGGCTGCCACCCGCCCAGGTTCTCCTGTCCGCGGACGTACATGGTGGAGGTGTCGAGCACTCGTCGCTGCCGCCTCGCCACTCCCGGACTGCCCGCCTCCAGTGAGCGTCGCAGTACCAGCTCAAAGATGGCCATCACATGATTCGACTCGGCGTTTCGGTAGCTGCCGGTGAGCAGGTGCTTCAGCACACGAGTGCTCAGACCGGCGTGCGACAGCAGCGGCAGTGTGCGTGAGTCGCGACCGTAGATGATCACACAGAGGTCTTTCGTGAGAATGGCCGGTTGGCTGGGGTGGTAGAACCGGAGATTAGTGCATTGATAAATAGAACCAGTGACAACAGCTCCCAAGACTCACCTGCATCGCTCCAGGTCCAGGTACGCAGACATGGTGAGGTAGACGCGCTCTCCCGAGGGCGTCACTCGATTGAGCAGCACTGAGTTGTGCAGTGAGGAGTCCCAGGCGGCTTCGAATCGAAAGACCAGTCGCCCGTCAGGCAGCGGCTCCAGCACCTCACTGAAGAAGAGCGTCAGACTGAGCACCGATGCGTCCGTCTCGTCGTCAAAGTCGCTGCTGTCCGCCACCGTCCTCACTCTGCCCACCACCAGCTCCCGCAGGTCTCTGAAGGGAACGTCGTAGTCAGGGTGGTGCATGATGGTCACCCGGATTCGTCGCTGTATGCCCTGGTGCAGCAGAAAGGTGCCCTTGCAGGGCGTGTCATCGTAGTGGTCGACCACCACGGGCAGGTACTGCCCATCAGGGGCCAGCTCGCACACTTCAATCCACACGGTGAGGTCCACTTTGGAGTGCACCAGCGAGGTGGAGGCGGAGGTGACCCGACTGGCCATGATTTGCCACTCATTGACGAGACCAGGCGTGAAGCGGGGAGACCGAATGGGCGTCGAAATGGGCAGGTAAAAGGTAAGCTGCATTCGTTTCGGCGGCGGACGTTGCTGACCACTGGCCAGATTAGGGTTACTGCTGAGAAGAAGATATTAGCCATAGTTCACCAGTGTTTCCCATGATCACCTACCTCATCGTTCCACTTTGTCCACTGTTGGCCGGACTGCTCTTCATAAGCAGACCTGCCTCCACTGCGGCCTCTCTGTGCAGCGGGTGCTGTTGATAGTGGCCGTACAACTCAAAAACCAGCGGCTGTGTGGCGAGGTACTCGCGAAAACTCTGGGTCACCTTTACCACAATGTTCTGATCACGGTAAAAGCCAGAGGGCACTCGACTGCGACTGCAGTTCTTGATTGACTCAGTGCTGAAGGCCTCGTCGTGTCGGTGGCGAAAGTTGAACTGCGCAAAGACGTCGGCGTAGTCCTTGCTGAGGCCAGTCAGCTGGAGAATGGACACTCGGAAGATGAACTCTGCGTCGTCTTGCAGGTGGGCAGGTGGGCGGCACTCGGTGGCCGGGGGTGTTTCTTCTTCCTCCTCTCCTTCGGTGACACCTTCAGCATTGCCTGACTCAAGACGCGGAACTTCATCACTGTTGTCTTCTCTGGGCACCAGTTCTTCTGCTTCCTTCAGTCGCTTCTGTCGCTCGAGGATTGCCTTCAGCTGTGGGTCATCGTCGCAGAAGTCAATTCGAGCCAGCTGACGCATGGTGGAGCTTCGAGTTATGCTGCCTTTGCTGGAACTAGAGCCGCGCTCCACCTCTGTTTCCTCGTCCGTGTCGCCGACTGGCTCTACGGCCACTCGCAAGTAGCCCATGACGTCGCCCTTCTCATTGACAATGCAAATGCATTGCGTCACCGGACAGGGCACCAGCAGGTTCCCCAGAAAGACTAGTCCCCGGCCGATCAGTCGAAACCAGGGAAAGCGGTCGGTAAAAGGATCGCTGTACTCGCTCTCGCCATTGAACTGCAAGGCCGCTACCGGATCTTTGGCGGCGTCCTCCGCAAACTTTGCATACACCTTGCGCATCAGCTCCAGTCGTTTTCTGAAAAGAGTGGAAAAAGTTGAATAACGACCAATTCAACAACTGATGACTGCATTTAACTTACCGCAACTTTGTCAGCGACCAGTAGTGAGTGGCGCCGTTCTTCTGGTCCTTCACCTCCACGGCAACGATCGTCTTTGCAAATGGACTACTTGTTGAGTGGGCTATTGATACATTGGTGCCCGGTGCGGCAGCCACCTCCACATCGGTGATCATCGTCTGCAATCCTGAATCGGCGGTCTCACTGCCCTTCACACCTGCCGATCTTTCTCCTCCACCACCACCACTGGCCGAGTTGACCATTTCCTGGTAGTCTGCCAGCAGCTCTCCACTGAGCGGACTGTAGATTGTCTCTGTGAGAATGACAAACTGAAACTGAACGCGCTTTCGCAGTTCCACCGACATGGCGTTCGCCTCCTTCAGGAAGATGGCATTGCCCCAAAGATCGTCACGCAGACTGGTGAACTGGTGCCAGCGCCACTTCTGGAACGACTTCCGCACGACACGCTCCTGCCAACGAGTCAGCGGTGGTCCGACACTACGAATATGATTAAGGAGAATGAAATGTTAAGAAAATCTGTAGCTACAACGGGCGCGCCAAACTCACTTCCAATTGGGATCCATCCTCAGTCCTCGATGCTTCTTCATGGCCTGTCGCCAGTCCTCTTCACTCTCGTCACTGCTGCCACCGCCGACACTGCCTTCAGAGTTTCGGTGGCTCATTGTGCTGAACATCGCCGACATGGTCATCGACTGTTCGTTCACCTGCTTTTGAAGTCGCTCAATCTGCTCTTCGTAGTTCTTCTTGGCATCCTCGAAGATCAGATCAGCCTCTGCCTTTTCGCGACGGTACTGCTCCTCCAGGCTAATTAGCTTTTGCTCCATCTCCAGCTTCAAGTCGATGCCCTGCTTCTCCAGTAGCTCCATTTGCGCAAAGGTCCAATCTACGGGCTGATTTTGCTGACCACCACCAGCACCAGCTGCTTCCGATCGACTTCTAACCTGAGCGGGGTGTTGAAATCGAAAGACGTGGTACTTGCCCAGAATCACTCTGGCTCCCGTCTTTAGCTCCATTCTCTCAGTGACCCGCCGACCATTGACGTAGCACAAAGCCTCTTCGGAGGCGGGCACCAGATGGACCGTTCCGGCTTGATTCTCAAAAATGCAGTGCTCCAAAAGAATGTTCGTTCCTGAGAGTCGAATGTCTGGATTCGTGTAGCCCTGTTCCCCACTGCTGTTGCCCGATGCATCCGAACTGGTCGCCCCCGATCCGACCTTGGTCAGGCCGTCCTTCAGGTAGTACAGCAGACACTCCGACATAAGCGGGTCCTCATTGAGGTTTAGCAGGTGTGGCGTGTCAGAGGGCGAGAAGACGCCCACTGCATCGCCGTCTGCCCGCCGTGCGACGCCCATCTCTGCCAGCACTGCTTCTCGTTCAGCACGAATCTCCTCTGTTCGCTTGAGTTTCTCCTCCCAGGTCACATTCAGCTCTGACATCAACTTTTCCGTCTCCTGCAGCTGCTCAATGGCGTTCTCGCCCACCAGAGAAACCGAGCCCCGGGTCAGCTTGGGATGCTTCTCCGCCGTCCCGTCAGCCATTGCTGATGTCTCCTAGTAAAAGGTTAAAACATCACGCAAATCAGTGAATCAGTTGAGAAGCATTTGAGTCTGACTTACCTTTTTGGAGTCGACCTTCTTCGATGCTCCACCAGCCGCAGCAGCAGCAACGGCGGCAGCAGCTGCACCACCTTCCATCTCCGCGATGCCTTCCGCCCTGAGAATCTCCCTCAGTCGGGCAATCTCGTCTCTCAGCTCTCTGATCAACTTTGCATTCGCGTCCTCATTGATGACGGCAGTGCACATAATCTGTTTTGCTCTGTCTGCGTATCGCAGCGTGCTCAGCGTCTCGTCGTAGTTGATGTCCGCCGGACTGAGCGCCGCAATCATCGCCGTTTTGGAGTTTCCGCCGAGGTTCTCGCGCAGCAGCCACGTCAAAACAGAGTCTCTGTACGGAATGTGCTCGCCTCCTTTCTTCTTTTTAGCGCCGCTTGACTGAATGGGAGAAGAATGGCTCAGTTGACTGCTTTTGTAAACAGTTCCAGACACTTACCAACTCTGCCAGAGCCGAGATGACCTTTCCCAGCGTCGTCAGCGACTTGTTAATATTGGCGCCCTCCTTCAGCCGAGTGCCCTGCGCTCCCGTGGAGTCTGCCCGCTCTGAGCCAGCCAAGTCGACCAGTGATATCTTGCTGACCTTCTCTCCGCTCATGCCGGTCATGTTGTCCTGCTTCAGTTGCGTCAGTATGATTGTGAAGACTGCATGAGACCGACTGCTGGTCTCATTCATGTTCGTTGCAGCCACAGTTCTGTAGAGTAGTGGCAAGTTAGAATCAACTATCATCACCGTCTCTTCTACCCTTACCTCGCCTTATTGCCCTCGTCGATAATCTCCTGAATGTCCTCATAGCTGGTCACTGCCAGTTTACTGAGGTCCTCCACGTACGGCCCCAGCACCGGGTGCTCACGCACTCTCAGCGGGCCCTTCACCTTTGGATTGAGCAGGTCACGCACCCGTTCGCAGTATATCTCCATGTAGCTGACCTCCACCGAGTACAGCATGTCCTCGTCCTCATCGGAGCCAATCCGGTCGAAGAGGTCCCGACAAAGGTGCGGAATGATGCCCTCATCGTCCGGGCTTTTGCCCATCATCGTGTACGACTTGCCGGCACCCGTTTGGCCGTACGCAAAGATGCACACGTTGTAGCCTTCAAATGCGTGCGTCAGCATCTCCTCGCCAATGTCCAGGTAGACTCGGGACTGGTCGGCGAAGTTGGGATCACTCGGAGAGTGCGACCAGTAGGAGTAGTCAAAGGTGAAGGACTTGGCGGCATTCTCCACTTTCGGGTTGACGATGGCTGCAACACAATGGAAAACAATGGTTTACTAAACTGTGCACTGAAAGTGGCACCTGAGGATCAACGTACTCGTTTTCTGTCCAGACATGGAGATGATGCTCTTGCACTGGTAGCTGTACTCCCGCTTGTTAAACGGCCGCACACGAACGGCCACTTTGACGGAGGACATTGTTGAATACTTTTTGTGGTGTGTGGGTAAGTGTGCAAATGGACAATAAAGGGGTAAAAGTGCTCAAAAACACAATGTGAAAATGATATGGGAAAATAATAATAAAAGGGTAGTAATTATTGCATTGTTCACTTCACTAGACACCATGAACGAGGTCATCATCACAAGTAGTCAACTGAGGAAAACTCCTTCCAAGTGAAGGGAGACATCTTTTGGAGAACACAATCAGAATGAGTGATATCTACAGTTTGGTGCAGCAAGTGCAAGTTCAAGTTCCACTGAAGCTCAGGGGAAATCAAAATTAGAGTCAGAGAGTTGGAGTTGGTCGTTAATTAAGGAGTTAGCAGTAGAGTGACGCCTGGAAGCGATCCGCTTCTCAGAGTTAAGACGACAGCAAGTAGTGGAGACTCATCGAATTGGAGAGAATAGAGAAGCGTGGGTCGAAGAAAGAGAAAGCGAGAGAGAAGGAGAGAGAAAAGGAGAGGTTAAGACGACACACCGCCAGTGCAAGTGGCTTTGGCGCCACTGCAAAAGAAGAAAACTTAATTAAAGACGTAATGAAATTGCCCAACATACAGTGCCAATGGCGGACACCGGCGGTGGACGACGACACACTCTGGCGACGTCCGCTCCTCTGCTCACTGTTCGCTGAGTTTGCACATCGACTGACTGACCAGAAGAAGAAAAGAAGAGGATTTCTGCTCAGTTGGCCGATCTGGCTGGCTTCGTGTCGAAAAGAATGAGAGAGAACGAAAGAGTGAAGTAATGTAGAGTAATGTAGAGTAAAGTAGAGCAGAGAGTAATAAAAGTGAGAGTCAATAGAAAGTGAACGCCAGTCAGTCAGAAAGAGTCTAGCAATTTCAATGCCAAACAATTCGCTCATTCCCTCGTTCCAGGACCGTTCCAAGGGAGACATGCGCACCCGAGAGAGAGTGAGAGAGAGCCGGGCACTGCTGCCCAGCGCCCGCAGAGGAAGCCAACTTCAATGGAGTGGATTCTTCGGAGTTCTCGTCGAGTTGTTTCCTTCCGCAGGGTAGCAGTGCCCATCGCTGGTGCTTCGATTCTGTAGTGGGCTCTCGTGGCCGCCCGGCAGCCCTCCTGCCGATTCGGGAGCAGAGCACAGTCAGGGTTAATTTGCCTCCTCGATTCTTCTCTTCCTTTCTCCTCGCTCAGTCTAGCCGGGTATATAGCCACAGTCAACTTTATGAGGGCCACTGCAGTGGTCTCTTCGTGTGTGTGTGTGTGTGTGTGTTCACCAGCAATCTCACTCCCTCTCTCCCACACACTGCGGCTACTTGCCCGCATTTTCAATTACCAGGCAGCACCAGCAGCAGCAACAGACACGAAGCAAGTAGTCATTTGGAATAAATGGATTTTTCTTTGGTGGCCGCGTTGGCAGAACCCAACTCGACATAGCACACACACACACAGAGTGAATTGCCACAGGTCTGTGCAATGTAGGCGCCTAATGGTGAGAACTTGCACAGAAGGATAAGGCATTGTGTGTGAGGCACGCCGCGGTAATTCTAGCTTCCACCGGGGCAAGCATCCAACACTGGAACACAGGAACAACAGGGCGCACACATTCCACGACACCTAATCTCAATTAAGGCCTCTGGCAAACAATAAACTCGTGCTCAAAGGCCGCATCCATTAGTAGTAAGCTCGTACACTGAAGATTAAAGAGCGGTGTGAAAAATTGATCAGAATCCCTTACACAAGGCGGAAAAAAACTTGAGCCATGGGATTTAGGTCATGGCGGCACCCAGGTCAAGGTTAGCTGAGCCCAAGTTCCCACCGAGACTATACAGAGAGAAAGAGAAAAATGTTGAATCGCAACAGCTGCTGATGCTGCTCTTTCCATTCCCAGAGGAGCTTGATTAAGCGCGCATTCCTCGATGGAAAAATTTGAGCAAAAACAGAAATTTGCCATGACGTAATTAGGATGGATGGAGAATGCCACTTTGGGAACATAACTAAATTATGACAAATTCAGAATTTGAAACAAATATTTTTGAGTTTTATTTACAAATTGAATCATCCTTCATTTTCATCTTTAGCTTCAATATTATTAGCTTTTATTACCTCTTTTTGTGTCGTGACAGGGTTCGCCGGCTGATCTGGTTTATTATTATCAGATTCTACCTTTTCAGTTTTAGTTTCTTCTTGAATCGTTGGTTTTGGTTCCTGAAACTTGTTTGCGTACTCAACCAGATTATATTTGGCTAGGTCAAAGTAATTCTCAAGTATACTCAGACAGCCAGCTCGTTGACAAATGTTGACTGCCACCATAATGGAAGGTTCATCGTAATTCAGATTCCAGTTGGGGCGAATTTCTCGAATCAACGACACAGTCGTTTCCTTCAACTGTGTTGAGCTTGTAAAACCGGCGTTGTTGCGAATTTTCACCATGACGGAAAAAGAATGATCAGTTTTAGGAGCGTGTAACTCAAAGAGCGTTTTAAAAGTTGATTCAAACTTTTCTGGCTCAGTCGCCTTGAAGGTAGAGACCACTGGCAGAAAACGGCAAATGTGTCGACAGTTGGCCATTTTCGTCTTGCCGATTTCGCCAAGAATAGTGGCAACTGTTTGGTTCGGTTCCACTTGAGGATCATTTGTACGAATGAACAGAATATTTTTACATTTTGTATCTGCTTGAATAAACCGTCTTTCAGATGAGGACTTAAGTGTGGCCACCTCTGCAGCAATAGAAGCTTCGATGTCATCTTCAGCCTGGTCTTTATCGGATTTGCTTTCACCGTAAACACCATAGAGTTTGTCAGCAGTTTGATTGAGGAGATCATACGATTCTCGAAGCGCGAAAAATTCTTTGTTGTTACAAGTGACAAGGAAACCCTTCAGATTTTCTGATAGTTTAACCGGTTCTGGTTGTCCTTTTGCCTTCTTTGCAGCACTTTTACAGTAATACTGCTTCTTCCGTTTTCCAGCCATACTAACAGATGTTGAAGATCAGGCAATGTCGAGAAACAATTTACGTAAGGTGATGAGAACTGTGAAATCAAGAAAAATCAGACGAGAAAAAATCCGATCTCTGGTCGACAACAAAGCTCAACTGAGGTTGTAATAGTTGCACCGCATGTTTTGAAAACACGTGCTTCTAGCTAGAGTAGCTGTTTGTGGCCAACAACGGCGCGCAGGATAAAATCTTGTAACGTTAAACAGTGCTACAGGGGGCAGCACTGTGTAGCACAGTGAGCGTTTTATCCGGCACGCCGCTGGTGAACACAAACAGAGACTCTACAGAAAGCACTCCAAACTCCAAGAGCAACACAATCCTACCGCCAACTAGCTACTTCAACTTTAAATTACCTTCAAGGTTTTTTCTAAAATGGCCAGTGAAGGGGACATCAAAGGCAACGGAAGCGAACAGATTGAAGAGGCCATCCCCATGGAAGACGGTGACAGTGACCAGGATGAAAGCTCGGAGGACGACTACCTCGACGATGACGAAGTGGACGATGAGGAGGAGAATGACGAAGAGGAAGCCACCGAAGGGGAGGTGATTCGCCGAACATACGTTCCAAACGCCAACAACGCAGACATGGAAGTGGGCGGTGACGGGGACGACGAGCTGGAGTGCGACCTGTCGGCCTACGTCATGTACCACAAGGCGGAAACGGGCTATCCGTGTCTTTCATTCGATGTGATTGCCGACGCAAACAACTCCGCCGACCGAGTGAACACCTTTCCTCAGACAGCCTACCTGGTCTCCGGAACCAATGCCGACAAGGCGCATCTCAACAAGCTGCTGATTCTTAAGCTCAGCCAGATGGGCCCGGTGAAGAAGCAGTCGGAGAATGACGACGAAGTGGACGACTCCGACGATGACGACGATGAGGATCTGCCTGACTTGCAGTCCGTCAGCATCGCCCACTCTGGTTGCGTCAATCGCGTTCGTGCGCGCACAATCGGCGACCGTACAGTGGCGGCCACCTTCAGCGAGCTGGGCGTCGTACATCTGTGGGACCTTTCCAACCCATTGGCTGCCATTGAGGACGCCTCTGCAGTGGCCAAGTGGAACAAGCACCAGGAGAAGAACCCGCAAAAGGCCATCTTCAGCTTTGCAGGCCACAACAGCGAGGGCTACGCCATCGACTGGAGCCCCACCACTGACGGACGCCTGGCCACGGGAGACTGCCTGAAGCACATCTTTCTCTGGAATCTCGCCGAAGGCGGATGGATTGTCGATCAGACGCCGCTAACTGGCCACACCAACTCGGTGGAAGATTTGCAGTGGAGCCCCAATGAGGAGCAGATTCTCGCCAGCTGCTCTGTGGACCGATCACTTCGAGTGTGGGACGTTCGCATGAAGGCCTCTGCCGCCATTGTCCTTCCTTCCGCCCACAATGCCGACATTAACGTTATCAGCTGGAACAAACTGGAGAAGGCGTTCATTCTCTCCGGAGGAGACGACGGCGCAGTGAAGGTCTGGGACTTGCGATACGTCCGAAAGGGCGGCAGTGCCGGCGGCGATTCGTCCACCTGCAAGCCAGTGGCCACCTTCAAGCACCACCAGCAGCCTATCACCTCGGTGGAGTGGCACCCCACTGATGGCACCGTCTTTGCCGCCTCTTCCGATGATCAGATCACTCTGTGGGACCTCGCTGTGGAAGCTGACGCTGACGCTGCAGTCCAGGATGGCAGTGGCGAAGATGCTGGCGACGGAGGTGAGGTGAAGACGGAAGATGACAAAGAGGTGGCCAAGCTGCCGCCGCAACTGCTCTTCATTCACCAAGGGCAGAAGGAGGTGAAGGAGGTGCACTGGCATGCACAGCTGCCTGGGGTGCTCATCTCCACCGCTATGAATGGCTTTGACATCTTTCGCACCATTTCTGTTTGAACGAAAACATTGCAACCGACCGACATAAGAACCCAGACCAAGTGTCCAAAGTGTATCAACCTCTTTTACGAAGCCCCTTTTCCCTATTTATTCTCTCTCTTTCTCTGGTAATACTACGCCGATACTACTGTTCCTTATTGCATGCATGAATAAGATAAAGTAACAAATAAATCAAATGATTTCAAAAGTTGACAGTTTAGAAGCTATATTGGTAGGTGAATGAGTTTGGAGTGAGAAAATAAAAGATTCAACGAGTTAACAGGTAGGCACTATAAAAGTACTAGAGCAAGGGAATTTGTTTCAAATCGTATTGTGTGATCTTTGTGAGTTGTACCGGTTATTACAGGGGCTTAGGAGAGGAAGACAATGAGCATCAGTTGCAGTTGTGTGTTGGGGGGTTCTCGTGTCTCACAGTGTGTGTGTGTGCTTGTCTCTGTGTGGTCACCAGAAAAGGAACAAAGGTTAGGTGCCCGAGAACCGAAGAGGGTGATCCTCAAGGCGTTTTTTATAAAATTAAAAGAAGGCTTCAGTTGATAAATAGTCAGTTCAAAGGTAGTAGGTAGGTCACATGAGTGGGGGCGGCATCGTGGGCTTCAGATGAAGAGAGTAAAGTGCGATAAAATAAGCAATAAAATAATATGAAGAAGAGAGGAGCACTAAGCAGCGGGTAGTGGACATCTAAGAAAGGGGAGGAAGGGGGATGTTCGTATGACAAGAGACAATCAGTGATGATCCTCGAGGAGATCGAAGCAAGCGACAATGACAATTCGGATAGGTCTGGCTGATTGGCTATTACAAGTATGGGCTATTGCACAAAATGAGATGCATGCAAAGAGGCAAGGGTCGAGTTACCGAGGTTCGGTCAGAGAGATAGAGCATGTTTAGATGAGTTAAAAGAAAGGGACTTCGTGTGCTGCTGTCAATGGAAGAGGAGGGTTAGAGCACATGACAAGAGCACTGAACATGGGCAGAGTAGAGCACACAGACACAACCGCTCACGTGGGCACCGGTGGTGACCCGGTGGGCGGGGTGGCCACTGATGGCTGCTTGCCGGGGGATGAGGGCGATGCAGAGTTGCACTGTTCGGGGGCAGAGTCCAGCACGACTCGGGTAAAGTCGGCAATGTCCGCGTCGGCGTACGTCTTGATGAAGGGCAACTCCAGCAGTTGCAGGTAGTTAGGTCGGTTCTGGTACTCCTTCTCAAGACTAATCGGGAATCGGTGATTAGAGGGTGTTCAGAGGAGAGGTCTTTGACCATTACTTACCACCTGACGATAAAGTCCTCAAACTCTGGCGAGTAGCGGTTGGCCGGAAGCTTTGGCGGTGGATCTTGGAATATTGATTTGAGCTGCTCAAAGAGGTTGCCATGTGGATAGGGAAAGGCGCCGGTGGCAATCTCGAAAAGCGTTAAACCTGTGAGGTAGTAGTAGACCAAGGGGTCAGCGACCGAGTGATCATTCAGAAAAAACAGTACTGGACTTACCCAAACTCCAGACGTCACTTTTGATGTCGTAGCCCTGCGGCCGTGGTCGTAACCTCTCCGGTGCCATGTAAGGCTTGCAGCCTGCCTCGTTGGTCATGGCGACCGAGTTGACAAGGTAGCCGCTGATGCCAAAGTCGCAGAGCTTGACAATGCCCGTCCGGTTGATGAGAATATTGGAGGGCTTCACATCTCGGTGGATGACCTTCAGGGTGTAGAGGTAGTGCAGGGCACTGACCACCGAGCCGGCGATGCGCCCAATGACCGCCTCGGGCACCGCCGGACTGGTGCCCGTCCCCGCAGCGGCCATTGCGTACGCCAGGCGGTAAAACTTGTCCAGACTGCTGTCCATGATCTCCATGAAGAGGTACACATCAGACTCCCAGAATATGGCGCCGTAAAACTCTCTATGGGGGACAGTTGAAGTTCAAGTGGAAAAAAGAGGTTGAGGTTTTTGTTGAGTGAAATCAGAGAACTGGGAAAATACTTACACAATGGTGGGACAGCCGCGACTCTTGACGAGCACTTCCATGTCCCTTAGCAGGCGAGTTTCATCTTGCAGGTTGCTGGCTCGAATCTTCTTTACCGCCAGCTTGACGCCGCTCGGCTCGTGCTGAATGAGCTCCACAATGCCGTAGGCGCCGTGGCCCAGCTCCTTGATGACCGTCACATTGTCGGGATCAATTTCAATCACCTGTTCGCCGACCTTGATTTGAGTGCTGCGGTCAAGGTTGGGGGCAGCCACCAGGTTGCCACCGCCGCCGGCGACAGAGTTCGCCGCCGAGGTGTCCAATCTAATGTCCGGCTTGATGACGATTCGAGGACGATTTCTGTCTGAAAAGAAAGTAGAGGTAGTCGTTGTTAGTAAACAAAAAAAATAAAAGAAATGAGAATGTGCAGAAGTGATGCCAACTTACTGCCCGACATGTTGTGCTGAACGGTTTGAGGACGGTGACGAGGAGCACACAACTTGATATAATGATGGAAATATGATGAGTGATCGCAGATCGGTGTTGTGTCTGTTTGTGTGTGTGTTTGTGAGTGTTTGTGTGGAGGTTAGCAATAGTAGGTAATAGTAGGAACTGGTGCTTATAATCAGAGTCGATGACTCATCTGAGCATCGAAATTTGCGTTTCCACTGGTGTGTGTGTATGTGAGTGTGTGACTGTTTTGGTTCGCTGGATAAGTTGGTGGCGCTGGAGAAGAGCAAAGTAAAATCAGCAGATAAGAAAACCAGTAAAGTTGAAAACTCTTCAAACTGTGAAAAAGCAGGCAGGGGAGGCGGATTAATTAGAACAGGTACACAGCAGTAGAGCACGGATCACAGACGGGTAGAGTAAGAAATGAGAGAAAGAAGGAAAGAAAGGTGCTGGTGCTGGTGTTGCCCCCGGAGACAGCAGTGAGAGCAGCTACAAGTTCCTGACCCCTGGGTCCCCCCTTTGGCGGGTGAAGAAAGGAGGAGGAGGTGGAGGAGGAGGCTGAAGGGTTGGTGACTGCTTCCTTCCTTCCTCAGTAGCAGTAGCAACGGCAACAACAGCAGCAGCAGCAGTTGAACAGACAACCGAAGCGATGCCCACACCGAATGGGTGCAATGAAGGCGATGATGGTGGCCGTACAGTCAGTCAGTGAGCAGTGAGACGTCAGGCACAGTGGCACGTAGTGAAGAAGGTCACTTGCAGAGAAAGTGAGTGAGCGAGCGAGCGAGGAGAGGGAGACAAGTAGCAGTCAGCCACTTGTACTAACGCTACCACTCACTGCCAGTTCTTGAAGCAAGCGCAGGCACCATCAGCGCAGACACTGGCGCCGACCAACCGACCACCGCTGCCACCACGACCAAGACCACGACCACGGCTTCGACGGCAGCAGGAGCAGCGGCGGCAGCGACAGCAGCACTTCTACTACTGCCACCTCTCTCACACTCTGGTGGACATTACCACCGCAGTTGGTGCATATAGCCTCGCCGCTGGCACTGCCGCTACTGCTTCTGATCTTCGCATCGCCGTACAGTGGACAACAACAACAACATTCACTGTACGGCAGGGTGATGAAGCGACAAGTCAAGGGGAAATTGAGGTAAAACAGCGCCAGGAAAAGCAGCACTCTGTCGTCTTTCCTGGGAGCTCCGTGCTCTTCAGTGCAATACAGCAGTCCAGCACCACAAGTGAAGAAACTTGTGGTTTGTGGTCCGCGATGCCACTGAAAAGCTTCACAATCACCCTCATTCGCCAGTAAGTATCAAATTATCTTGCTTTCTTTCATTTTCATTGTGCATACTGAATTTCTTTTTTAACTGGCAGCGGCGAAACAGAGGAAAACAGCCTGGGCATTATTCAAGGGCAGTCGGATACTAAACTGAACGCCACCGGCATTCAGCAGGCACAGCTGCTGGCGGCAACATTTCCCATTGAAGAGTACTCCATCGCTTACAGCTCAGACCTCTCTAGAGCCTATGACACTTGTCGGGTGATTCTCAGCGACAGCCCACAGGCGAAGAGCGGTGCCTCACTCAAGGACATTCGCACTGATGTTCGCCTGCGAGAGCGAAGCTTCGGTCCACTCGAAGGGCAGTCACTGGATGCGCTGATCAAACTGGCGAAGGAGCACAACACCTCAGTGGTCAACTTTGTTCCTGAAGGGGGTGAATCACCGGAGGACATTCGCCGTCGTGTGCGCAACTTCGTGGAGACCCGTCTGCTGGAGGAGGCACAGAAGGAGTCCACCGACGACAGGGCACTGAAGATACTGTTGGTGAGTCACGGGGGAGCCATCCGCGAGCTGATCAACTACTTTGTCTCCTTCGGCCATCACTCCTTCAAGGCGCAAAAGGAGAAAACGCGCATCATACCTCCCAACACTAGTGTCAATGATTTCCTCGTCCACTACGACCTGCAGACGTTTGCCGCCTCTCCGGTGAAGACGGTTGAGTGTCTGCGACTGCATGACGTCTCCCACCTGCCCGAGTCCTTTCAGAAGCAGGCACTCAGTCAGAAGCAAGTCAATGACCACTACAAGGGACCAGCTGTTTAGAATTCTAGTAGAAAGTTTTAATTTTTTTTAATTTATAAAAAGTGCAATCAAAAAAGCCAATACAAGCAAATAAGCATTGTGTGTGTTTGAGTAAGTAAAAGTTCCATTACATGCGCGTTTTAGCAGAGGATGCCGATGTTGGTTTCATGAAGGATTTAGCACCGGGCTGAGGGATGCCACTACCACTACTGTCCAGTGACTTTGATGACGATAGTGTGCCCATCAGTGAGGATCTCTGCAGCGAAAGCATCGAGCCCATGTCAGAGTTTAAGCCTGTCCGCGACACTGTTGACGGTGTTCGGTAGTACTTTCCATTCGGTGCAGGTGGTCGTCTAGCGGTATTAGGCTGCAAAGAGTGACCGTTTCTGGTAGACATGACCCAAGCAATTCGCTTATCAACAGCTGACTGCTGCCGAAAGGATATTGAACTGGATGCCTTTGTACGGACAGAAGGAGTACTGCCTTTGCCAGACACTGGAACTGACGACTTACTAGAACCTATTTTTTGTGAAGGGGAATCACGTGAAGATGAAACCGTTTTTAGCTGACTTGATTTTCGCTCTAGTTTAGATTTTTTCTCAGTCGTAGAATCAAGACCGTTTTCACTTTTGTTGATCTGCTGTGCCTCTGAATCAGTGCTTAAAGTTGCCTCTGAATAGACCATTTTTTGCATCGGCATGACAATGGCCGCATTGACAGGCGTTGTTGCCTTGCCATCACTTCCAAGTACAAAAGAGGGCGTCCTTCGAACTGCGATCGGCGGCAATGCATTGGGAAGGCTGCTCGGTCTGGCGGTGGCCACAGTGGACACTATTATGTTAAAGTCAGTTGCAGGGCCACTGGTGCTGGAGTTTGAACTTTCAAATTGCTGGTGAAGAGCATCGTTGCTCTCAATAAATTTAGTTGGTGATATGATGGCAGTTAGTTGCTGTATGTACTGGTTGTTGCTCTTGCGTAGACTGCTGATAACCGGAAGTTGCTTTGGCGCTTCTATGGTCCGGGTAGGCAAGCTTTCTGTTACTTCATTTTCATTACTCATGTTTTTCGGTTGATTGGTTTCAAGAGAAACTTTAATTCTAGGAATTGTCTCATTTCCTTGAATGATATCAGTTGAAGTGTTTTCAACTACCTTTGGCTTACTGCAATTTGCCTCATTATCTCGAGAAGTGCTTTTGTAGTTCATTGTACGTCGGAGTGGTGAAAACCGATTAAACTTAGATGATTTTTCTTCGTGTTCTTCAGCAGAATTTTGCTTCGGCTCTTCACCACCAGCTATCCGTTCTCGTGAATCTTCTGGAATGGTAGACGCAGCAGCATTGTTGTTGAGACTTCGCAAACTGCGCCGACCTGAGCCAACACGACGAAAGTTTGAACCGTACAGATTACCGTCAATGTTTGGCGTCTCCAAATTGGACGGATTTGTAAGAAACTCAACTAAGTTGGAGTGTAAGTCAGTCACATCCTGAGAATTTGGTCGCGATCGCCGGCGGTTGAATGATGACGTCCTCTCGATTGTACTGTTTCCATTGGCAGAGCTTTCTAAAGAGCGACTCATCACTTTCAAAGACTCAGTCGGAACTATTAGCTGACTATTCACTTGACAAGTGTTGCTCATTTGTGAATTTTCTTTGGTCCCTTTACTAGGCAAAGCAGTTGAGTTCATCTGTCGAGTCTTTGCTTTCTGCTGATGTTCAAGCCGTTTTCTGTTGTCCTCGATAGCAACTTTGAAACGTTGCTCAAAGATAACAAATATTCGCAAGCACTCTTCCAGTTTAAAAGTCGCAGTGTCTTCACAGAAAAATTTGGCCACTTTTTGTCGCAGCAACTCAAGATCGTTATCCGTTTCCTCCTTCATCCTCTTAATGCATCTGTCACTGTCATTCAAGAAGTTTTGAATAGTGTGAAAAAAATCTTCATCCTCTTCTTTTTGCTTTTTCAATTGCAATTTAATATTAAGCATCTTTTCTTCAAGAGACCGTATTTCCACTTTTAGGCTCTCGATTGAAATTCTGCAAGTAATAAGCTTAGCAATTGATACACTTAAAACAAGCAAAAAACTCACTTTGATGCTTCCTTGAGATTGGGCAAATCTTTGCTAAAGCTTGTCAGTCCTTGTTTTTCGGCTTGCTAAAAAGGTAGAACAAAAGTTATTTCAAGCAAAATAAGTACAATTACTAAAACATACCATGGCCACGTAGTGAATCATGTTCAAGCCGGCTTTGTTTGAGCGAATTTCAGCTAATTTGGGCAGCGACACAACTTTGAATCCACCCGCATTACCAGCATACGAACCCTGAGAAGAGCCGTTAGTATTCAGCAGCAAAACAAACCCAGAATATTATGAAAACTTACAAAGTTCAGAAAATTGCCTGCAACGAGAACACAGGTGAGAATCTGCTGCAGTTTGTAGCTTCGCATCAGCTCATTGGCAGCTTTGCGCAGACAACTGATTGCTTTTTCCAAAGCTGGAACGTTGGTGTCAAACTCCTCTTGAAGTAGCATAAACTCAATTTTAAGCTGGTAGTGCTTCAAACCAATGAGAATGCTTAGGAATCGTTCGGCGAGCGGCATTCGATTTATTCTGATCACCAAACAAAAACTGTTAGTAAGATGTCTAATTATCAAATGTTATAATTACTCTGAAGAATGCTGACGCAAGAGGCCAATCTCGCTTTCCGAGGGAAGTAAACTCTGAAGGCTGCGAAGCTTTTCGAGGCCAATGTCAGAATGTTTGTCTCTCCTGATAAAATCGACTATATCTTCTAGAGATGTGCCGCGGTACTGCTTTAGAAATATGTTGACACTCAATGTACGCTTACTGTCCAGAATGGCAACCACTGGTTCAGCCTGAAGTCGTGTCAGCGGACTGCAGTGCTCAGTGCCTAGTGATGCTGAGTCGCCGTGCTCCTGGAGTTGATTTGCAGAGACATAGTCCAGTGATAGTGAACTGTCACTGGACGGCTCAGAGCCAGTCACCAGTGCACTGCTTGCCCTTCGTCCTATCTGGGGCGAGTTTGGACACGAATTGGCGGTGGCCGGTGTAAGCTGCTGAACATTTCCTACACCGCTGGTACCATTAATGTTTGCTCCACTCAAATTGGATGCTGAGGAGAGGCAGAACAGTTCTTCGAGTTGATCAAAATCGACTAGTTGTTGCATTGGGTCCTCTCGTTCAGGGGCACTTGGAACGGAACCACTCTCTTTGACAAACTTTTGACCAATTAGTTGCCAAATGTTTGGCTGCTGCTCAGCATTTGATGTCGTGATAGCACTCACTGGAATTTTTGTCCAGTTGATTGTTTTCATTTTTGCTTTGGGTTTCTTTGGAAGGAAGTTTGGTTGTCGGAAACTTTCCAACCCAGCCTCTGGAACGGTGTTGCTGTTTGTAGATCTATCGTTTTTTGGCAAAACATCTGAGTTTTTATTTGCTTTTATTTTCACTAGTTGAGACGATGATGGTGGTGGTGGTGGTGGTGGTGGTGGTGGTGGAGGCGGTGGGGGAGGTGGTGGTAGAGGAAGGGATGGAACTTCTTTTTGATCAGTTACACTACTCACTGAACAGTTTTTGGTAATAGGTTCTACCATTGGCGATTTTCGGTCGCCAGACTCTATTTGAGGCAGTGATTGAGAAAAAAGAACATCTTTGGTACACTTCTCTTTGGAGATATGTTGTACAGTTGCTGACTCATTTGATGGCAGCGATTGAAAGTGACCATTTTCAAGCAAAGATAGGGAACTTGATAAAGTAGAAAATGACGATGATGATGATATTGAAGACAGGGAAGAATCGACAGGCGTTTCAGAGCTTTTCTCAATCATTTCATTGTGCTTCCTTACTAAAGATGACCTTTCCAACTCAAGCATCAAATTGTCTAACATTTTTGCCAATTCTGTTGGAGTACTTTGTTCAGTGGTTAGTAAATCAAAGTATTTATCAATTACGGTGAACAAATGCGCTACATTAGATGCTGAGTGACCTAGGGCGCTCTCTGGCCATAAAAATAAAGTTAAGTTTTTCAGCATTTTAAGCAGTACTTCTTTGGAGTCTAATGACATAGCGTCGGTTAACCTGCCTGAGACAAGACACATCAGGCCAAACATGCGGTCACTTGTCTGACTCAAGTTTTCGCTAATGTTGAGCAAACTGATCTTGATGTCTGCATTTAAAGCCTGTTTGTAGCTGGTAATTGCTTTTACTAAATCACTAGATGAAATTGAGTCAGAAAGAATTTTACTGGACAACGTCTCAAAGCCAAACTGATTCAACTGAGCGCGAATGAGCATTTTTTGTGAATAATTTGGTGCAGACTCAATGAGATGGTTTAAAAGGTCGACAATGGTGAATGCGTATTGCTGATGGCAAGTTTGCTGAAAACACGTAGAAAGCTCGGTGACCAGTATGCAGAAGTACGACTCGCCAGTTGACGAGTAAAGAAACTAAATATTTGAGCAAAAAAATTGAAAAATAATAAACATGCTGAACTTTGTCAACTTTGTATTTTACCTGGAACTGAGTCAAAATTTGCACCACTTGACCATAGCCTTTGATGTCATTATTCTGGCACAAACATGCACACAGCTTAACCAGTAGTCGATGCTTTTGCTTGGTGTCATATTCGTTAAAACCTAAAGTTAAAAAACAAAAGTTACTTTTTGAGCTAACTAACTAGTGAATTTACATTTTGCCAATTTCTTAGCCAGATCTAATGGAAGTGAGATAGCATTTGAATTGTTGAATACAGTCATCGAATCAGTCAATGATTTGCTTTTTGGTTGCATCAGTTTGTAGTGGTTGCTGGGACTAGTCATAGTGCTGTTGCTTCTAGTTGGTGAAGCCTCACAACGAAATGATCGAGGTCTGGCAACTGCTGCTCTTCTTTGGCTAGATGGACTTGCATTTGGAGACATGCTCACACTGGGAGCATGCAAAGAAGGCCGAGACGAGGTATTCAGTGTGGGCAGCCTCAAAGGTGAGGGCTTACGAATGGCACGTGGAATCG